TAGGATCCGGTCCAGGTAGACCGGGTCCTCGTAGGATCCGGTCCAGGTAGACCGGGTCCTCGTAGGATCCGGTCCAGGTAGACCGGGTCCTCGTAGGATCCCGTCCAGGTAGACTGGGTCCTCGTAGGATCCGGTCCAGGTAGACCAGGTCCTTGTAAATTATAGACCTATTGCTTTAACCTCAAATATTTGCCAAATAATGGAGAATAGATGAATGACTGACATGTTATTTGGAAAGGAATCAATATCCAGACGGCAAAGTGGCTTCAGAAAAGGAAGGAAGACCCTGGATCCATCTTTGTGTCTAAAACACGAAATTAGAAAAGTGAAAATAGAGAAAGTGTCGTGGCTGCATTCTTTGATATTGAGAAGGTTTAGGATATGATGTAGAGAGAAGGACTGATGATCAAACTGCTAAACATGGATATTAAAGGTAGAATATAAAAGATTTTTAAGTGAAAGGAAAATACAGGTTAGAATGGAAAGAGTTATTCTTCAAAATATCTAATTAAAAATGGAAAACATCAAGAAGAAGAAGAAGAATAACAGGGGGGGGGGGGTCAGAATACTGATTATATTGTGAAGAAATTAGAAAAAGCGATTAATAAAATAGAAGATTGATCAGAATATAAATGGGAATTCAAACTTTCAGAGGAAAAATCAAAAACAGTTTTTTTAGGAGCCTGAATTTACACTTTGTGATTTTCTTGGTTCAAATTATAGTTAATGTTTTGTGTTTTATTTTTCTTGTTAAATGAACCTTTCTTCAAATTACTAAATATTATTGGTAATTCATACCAATTTGGGGCTTTTGTGGTTATTTCGTTATTATTTTCATTAGTTCTTTGGTTTAAGGATGCATGTGTGTCACCTTTTAAGAATGATGCATCATGGGAGTTTGGTTGTTGTGTATCACAGAGTGGAGCCAAAAGGTTTTTTGACCTCTGTCCTTATTTATTGTATGTATGTTCGCCGCCCATTTATTCTATCTACTCACTAAAACTTTTTTAAATGCAATAACGTCTCTGTGGATTGTTTGGGATGAATCATCTGGATAACTGGTCTTTGGAAATGTTAAGAGTGCAGCGAGTCAGACCGGCTTCACTGATGTTTGAACCCTACACTCAGAAACAATTGGTAGTATGGTGAAGGTTCAATTATAGAATCAAGAGATAGAAAGGGTCAAAAACTTTAAACTCTTGGTTTATGGCATTTCATATTCAGAAAATTATTGATAAGTGCCAAAAAGTTTTGAATGTTATGTTTGAGTGGGGAGCAGACAGAACGGCTTTAAACGCTATATATACAGGATTAATAAGGTCAGCAATAGACTTTGGTCGTGTGGTTTATGGGTCAGCAGCTATTGCATCACTTAAAAAGTTAGAGTATATACGGACACAAGCTTTAAGATTAATTACAGGAGCGTTTAAAACAACTTTGCAGGTTGAAGCTGGAGAAATGCCTGGAAATCAGGACACCTGTTGCTAAATGACTGGGTTAGTTTACAGGATCATGGTCCAGATCATCCTGCAGAAGAAACACTGCAGCCATGTTGGAAAAGGAGACAAACAGGAAGGTTTGGATGCATAGTAGGGAAAAAACTAAGAGAACTTAGATTAGATCAAATTAAATGTAGTGCAACTGTAGCGTTAGCAGCAATCCCTCCCTGGATCACACCTGGAACTATGGTGGATTTGACACGGTTAGAAAAGAAAAAGGAAGGAATATTCATCATAAACTGATGCAGGCATATGTTAATAGTTATTATTATATTCAAATATATACAGATGCATCTTAAAGTGTGAGTAATAGGCTGCGTATTGCTTTTTATGTTCCAGAGGTCAATATCAAAGTAAATAGGAGAATAAATAATGAATAATCAGTTTATACAGGAGAATTATTAGCAATACTATTAGCATTACAATAGAGGAAGTAAGACCATTAAGATAAATTATATGTTCAGATTTAATCAGTATATAAAATCATAGCTCAGAAAGTAGATCAGACATTTTAATTTATATCAAGCTCAAATGATGGGTATTAGTGTTATATTTATTTGGGTTCCAGCACATAAAGGGATCAAAGGAAATGAAAATGCAGACAAGATTACTAAAGAAGCGTCACAAAATAAAACCATTGATATAATAATTAACTTAAGACAGAAATGAAAAGCATCATTACACAAAGGATGAAGGAAAGGAGGCAAAAACAATTGGAAGAAGAAAGGAGAGGAAGATGGTTTTATAGGATTCAACAGAAACTTGGAGAAATGAGGAGAGCAGGAGAGATGAAGCAGTTATTCCAAGACTTAGATTTGGACATAAAGCATTAAATATTCAAAATAGGGAAACATGTCAGGAAAATGTGGACAAGATGAAACAGTAGAACATGTAGTGATGGATCATAAGAAGTATGAAGAAGAATTTGGTTAGAGACCTAAAAAAGGAGAAAGTGAAATTTGATTTGATAGATATTCTGCAGAAAAAGTCAAATAAATGTTATCAATATTTATTTAAATATTTAATAATAGCAGGAATAATTGGGAGGATTTAGTATTATAAAGTAATATTATAGATATAGATATATAGATAAATATGTGTCTTGCTGAAATGGACCATTCTGATGCACCCTCCTCACCAGCTGTTGTTGCCAAGCGCCATTAAACGCAGCAAGACAAGAGCAGAATGCACCAGCAGGGGGCAGCAGTGGAGCCCAGCGACGCTGCCTGCCAAGAAGCAGCAGCAGAAGAAGAAGAAGCAACATGGCTTCCGGGCAGCAGTGGGTGTTGGTGGAAATGGTTCAGGCTTTTTATGAGGTAAACTTTCTCTTTAAAATCCCTCAGTCGGTTAAACGGACCGATTCCTCTGCTCCTCTTTCTGTCTTCTACTGTGAGTCAGCTGAGCTCCCAGCGGGCCTTCCAGGTCCTGGACCGGGACTCCAGGTCCTGGAACGGAACTCCAGGTTCTGGACCGGGACTCCTGGTGCTGGACCGGAACTCCAGGTGCTGGAACGGAACTCCAGGTCCTGGACCAGAACTCCTTGTGTCCTGGACCTGGACTCCAGGTGTCCTGGTCTGTTGAGGCCTGTTACTAACTCTTAACTGTTGCGCTTCTACACCGAACTTTACGGTTCCCTCTGTGTGTCATAAACTGTATTATGTAGTTCCAGGAAGCAGTAAAGCAGAGCAGAGGAATCTGTCGCTTCTTCTGTCTCTGATTTCAGAGGTTTTAGACAAGAGACGTTCAAGTACAGTCTGGAAAAGGGGAAACCTTTGGGATTGGCTTCCTGTTCTAATGTATGAAAAAGTTTCCAAGTTTGATTATGAAGTTGATCAACAGATTGTGATAATAAAGTTAAACTTTGGAAAACAGGCAGATTTGAGAGAACCAATGAAACTTCATCCCTAAAGGCCTTTCAGAGGTGATGGAGAAAAGAAGCCTTGTTTGCTTCAATGATCCCCACAGTTCATGAAGCTTCATTGAACAGGACGCCACCTGCTGGTGGAATGCAGAACTGCAGTTAGTAATAAAATGCGTCCCCCCTCCGAATTTGTCCTCCTGCAATCTCAGTCTATGTGTGATTTTCTCCATTAGAAAAATCTCTTCCACGATGCTCAGCCACTGCTCCGCCACAGGGGGGTCCCGTCTATACCATAGTTTTGTGATGGTTTTCCTAGATGCTGAAAGTAAAATTTTTACCAAGTATTCATCGTCTTTGTGAATTACCTCGTGTGTCAGGCATCCTAGATAAAGTATTTTACAAGATCTGGGTATTCCATAGCCCAGTATTTTTTTCAGAATAAGGCAAATATTACGCCAGTATGTAGTTAGCTTTTGACACGTCCAGAAAATGTGCGTATGGCCTACATCAGTCTGGCCACAGAGTCTCCAGCATGGCTGTGAACTGGATAGCATCCTGGATCTGACCTTTGGCGTTATAAAAAAT